TTTTTTTTGTTTTTTTTTTTTTTTTTTGGGGGGGGGGGGTTGTGTGATACTATAGCCTGTGCTTGTGTCTTTTTCCTCTGAGTCTATGATAGGGCATGTGAGAAGAGTGCTTCCAGTTTGACTCGACCGAACACCTGTTTCTTCCATAGAAGCGCTAGGTCAATAAGGGACAGCTCTTACAGAACCTCTAGATGACCTCTACAAGACCTCTTGATGATAATTTCTTTCATTTATTGTACAGAGCTGTCGCCTCCATGATTTCCACCTTGTTCTTCCCAATTATTCCATGGATTTTACAACTTTTCGTTTTCGCTTGGTTTGTGGCTGTTGCATTGTATCCTTTGTTACATTCTGCAAAGATTGACGGTTTGACTCTTCTAGTAACACTAGATCCTTACGTGACCTCTGGGGAGAACAGTTAAGAACTATTCACTATAAATAAAGTTGGTTTAGTTTAGGTTTCCTCGTGTAGTAACACTGGATCAATATGGGATGATCCTTACTGGACCTCTATAGGGAGAACAGTTTATAACTGATAGAGCTATCCAGAGAACAGTTTGGAACTGACAGAATTGTCCAGTATATAAATAACTGGTTAAGTGGAATTGTACAATACCTCTCCCCTTGACGAGCAAACTCGTCTGCCGTTAGACAAAGTAAAATAATAAAGTGGGGCGCATTAGGGCGCATTGCAGTTTAATGGGTTATACCCCTTAACTCAAAGCAAACCAGATTTTTGGTCAGTAACGGAACTGCAAAGTATCACACGCTGGACGGGAACAGCACGATGGGGAACTCTACTGAATGTGATCCTAAGGTTTGTGTACACACGTAACAACGCAGCAAGTTGTATCAAACCCGCAGCAGACTTGTAGCAATGCTGTTCCAACAACTTGTCAACAGGATGTATTCGCACTGCTTGTTGACAACTTGCTGCAAGGTTATCGTCCTGCAATTCAACAATTTGTCAACAAGTTGTGAGTGACGAGTACATACGTGACAACCTTGTGGCAACTTGATAAAATAACAGTATTGTTACAAGTTGTTGACAAGCTTGCTACAAGCCTGTTGTGAACACATCTTGTTGACAAGTTGTGAGTGACAACCTTGTAGCAACTTGATAAAATAACAGCAAAGCTTGCTACAAGCCTGTTGCGAACACATCTTGTTGACAAATTGTGAGATTTTTTCGCGCGTATTCTGTGAAAGAAAATCACGTAGTGCGTTATAAAGCTTAAAATACAAGTTCCCAATAACAATGTTTCTATTTTATTTTTCATTTCATTCAGACCTTTAATGACACCAAGCTGGATTGTGTTTTAGCTGGCTATGAAACAAACAAGTATGTATACAGTGTATACCTTCGACAGTCCACTAACCGCAAACTTCAAAATGCATTTGAAGAAGAAGTTTTCGATAGCTAAGTAACTGATTCATGCTTCAATTTTAATGCACAATAATGAACTTGGAAGAGCTAACAGTTGAGCTCAAAATACGATTTGAAGATTTCCGTTTGCGGTCTCGTTTAACCGTTGTTTTGAAACGTGACGACACACTTACAAACCAAATAAACCAAAGCAGACATTGTGCAAAGATTAAGAAATACTGTACATACAACGACGAAAAAGCTTAACAGATAACTTGCGTTTTGGTTACCATTCGGCTCTCTTCCACTCATCACAAACCCAACTCGCAAGCTGCGAGTGCTAGTATCTAATTAAAATAAATTGTCGAGCAGTATGATTGCATGAACGTACTTGCAGTAAGCTTGCAATGAGTGGAAAGAGTCTTATATTATCAGAACAGTGGTAACTAAGCATTTGTTTGCAGAAATCTGAATCGTATGGCTGTCTATCATTTCTTCGGTTGGCTTTGGATGATGAATTTTGTGATTGCTCTTGGCGAGTGCGTATTGGCTGGTGCTTTTGCTTCCTGGTATTTTGCTTTCCACAAACCTGACGTAAGTATTTCATACCTACTGTCCATATACTGTCGTACGAGAAATAAAATGTGGTGTATTATATAGCGGTACAGTGGCTGGTGCATGTGTCTTTCGACTCCGTGAACATAGTTCGAGATTCTTGCTATATGCGGTTGTCTGATTATGACACAGTTCTCTTCTGTGAGATAGTCTGCGAAAACCGCTTTCCGATTGTGAAGAGTGCTTCTAGTTTCACTATACCAGCTTTTCAGCGAGTACTCCGATTGCTGGTTTCCCTTGCAACCGCTTTTTTTTTGACGAATGACACAGAAATTTGCTGCGAGGGAGACTATCTTCTAGCTATGAACACTAGACGAGCACGCCCTTAGAACGCTACGATTCCGATAAATAATATCCAAGTTTTTACATTGGAAATTTTTCATTTTCCAGGATGTTCCAGCTTTGCCTGTTTTGTCCGCATTAGGGAGAACATTAAGGTGAGAATTCACTATACTGTGAAGTCAAATCAGAGTAACTGTGTTTCGAAGATGAGCCATGAATCATATTTGGGACTGTTCTCTAGGTACCATACAGGATCTCTGGCTTTTGGTGCGGCCATCATTGCTGTTGTTCAGTTCGTCCGAGCCATCTTGGAGTATGTTGACCATAAATTGAAAGGTAATATTCGCTGAAAAAATACCATGTCGTGATCTTGTCGTACAAACTCAATTCCCTGATTGGACAAATTTAGCTGGTGTGATATTATTCGAGGAATACCAAATGTTTTACCTTTTTATTTTATAGAGTCAAACCAGGATAATGGATTTGTTAAATTTGTTATGAAGTAAGTATATTTTTATTCAGGATAAGTTAAGGTGGTAGTTCAGTATACCTACACTGAACCACCACGTTTGAGATATATCTTTTTAGGTAGTTCAGACACAAACCACGGCAGCTTATTGTTGAATATTACCTACACTAGACCACCACGTTTGAGATATGATTTGTCTGCATGCTACAATCGTATTTTTTGTCTTAGATGTATGAAGTGCTGTATGTGGTGTTTGGAAAAATGTTTGAGATTCTTGAACAAAAATGCGTACATCGGCATTGCAATCTATGGTAAAAATTTCTGCAAAGCTGCAAAGGACGCCTTCTTCCTGCTCTTACGAAACGCTTTAAGGTACATTTTATTTACATTTTCAATTAACCCCATGTTTATCCATGTTGCTATCCAATTCAAATTCACATTTTGAGATAAGTCACATGCCTAGTTTTCTCTTTCTGTAGAGTTGCAGCGGTGAATGGCGTCACTGCGTTCCTTCTCTTCATTGGAAAACTTTTCGTTGTTGGGATCATAGGTAAGGAGGTTCTTCTAGGGATCCTGAGGAACATTTGTGTATTGGAGCAAACAATAGCGAGCTGAAGCAAGCGACGTTTTTTCAACACGGACGTCAGATTGCCGGGGGGGGGAGGGGGGACTGGATTAAAAACTCTGTTTGTATCAGTTTGTGGTAATCTTCAACACATAGGACAAGATTTACTCCTTCCTTTTAGATTAATAAAATATTTCTTTACTTGTTAGGTGTTGGTAGTTTCTTTTGGTTTGACAGATTCGTCAATGAAGTTGAAGATGTTCAGTTATCTTACTCAGTCGTACCCATTGTGGTAGGTTTACGACCTTCTACGACTTCCTACGGCAGCTTACGACAAACGACAGTTTGCACTTCTGTTCGATCAAGATATCATATGACCTTTGGCTCTAGGACGTTCGTCTCAACAATGTGTCCAAAGTCTTGCAGTTAATGCATGTTTTAAACTTTTTTTTAGATTTGTATCATTGGTGCTTGGGTCGTTGCTGCAATTTTCTTCGATGTTTACGATATGGCCATTGACACCATCTTCTTCTGCTTCCGTAAGTCAAATGCAGATGTGATAAACCGCATAACTGATTGAGTTATTAAACGAACTTTATTTATACTGGATACCTTGATGAGTACGAAACTGTTCTACAGAGATGTCAGTAAGAGTCATCCTTTATTGCTCAAGTGCAGCCTCTAGCTCGTGTCGACTCGTGTTGCTACATGTGAAACCTAAATTTTCACCGGATAGCTCTATCAGTCGACTGTACTAATCACTCTTCTCACATGAGATGGAGGTGAAATTATAATCAGACAACAGAATATATTGCAAGAATTGGACTCTGGGCACAAGGGTGAAAGTGTCCAACAACCCAAACACGAGTACGTAGTTTTTAATTTAGACTGGAGTAAATCCATTGACCAAGTAAAATCCGAGTCAATTCCGAACCCAAGTCAAACGTCCGAGTCACGTAAAAAAAAAAGAAATTGAATAAAATTCACAATCGAACAGGGTTAGGAGTAGGGTTAGTTGTAGGGTTAGGAGTAGGGTTAGGAGTAGGGTTAGGAGTAGGGTTAGGAGTAGGGTTAGGAGTAGGGTTAGGAGTAGGGTTAGGAGTAGGGTTAGGAGTAGGGTTAGGAGTAGGGTTAGGAGTAGGGTTAGGAGTAGGGTTAGAAGCAGGGTCTTAGCTAGGATCTTAGATCTTGGGCGTGTTTCTAATGACCATGGGCGTGCACATGTCAATTACCTTGAATAGCAAAATCACGGTTATAGTTATGCTCGTCAACAACATGTTGTTGTATGTTTTGCAACCAGTTATTTCAGCAACTCCTGGGGTATTTAAAACCATTTTAACACCATACAGTTCCCATTATCCATCAAAACATTAAACTCATCACAGATCACTTTTTCCAATTTCAACAACAACAGTAGATTTTATAAACTTTCTTACGACGTAAATAGGAAGAAATTCTGTCTGTTGTAAGTAGCAAGACCTTATTTTATGAACCTACACGGCCTTATATAAATAAGGAAGCCGCGTTCATTTTATCTAGCCGTGTTTTTCCACTTTTGGCCGCGATAACACGGCCAACACGGCCCTCTAGCTAAGACCCTGGTTAGGAGTAGGGTTAGGAGTAAGGTTAGGAGTAGGAGTAGGGTTAGGAGTAGGGTTAGGAGTAGGGTTAGGGTACTAAGTCATTGAACTACAAAAACCGCTAAGTAGTGACTCGGATATTTGACTCTGCCTCGGATTTGATTCGGTTAACCGACAAACTCATTCAGATTGACTTGCTTTTTATTGTCAACGTCCGCTTTAAACACCTCATCATATCTCTGTTCTTTTTCTTTGCAGTTGAAGACAGCGAGAGAAACGACGGCAGTGCCGAGAAACCTTACTACATGAGTGAAAATCTCCGAGATATTCTCGGAAAATAGTCGCGTTTACTTCAAGTATAACACGCTAAAACTCTTTGCATATGCGATTTTTTTATATTTCGTGGCATGTAATGAATAGACGTTTATATTCGTATACTTTTTCTAAGGTCTTAATGTGGGTCTTTGGATGTGAATTGTTAGAAAGATATTTTGTAAGATGTTAGTTCCAAAATTGCTCTTTGACCGTTTGTCAGATATTTTTCAATTAGTCGAAAATACAGGCAAATAACCCACTATAATGAATAGAACACACTATGTCATATCATATACATACAAGTAATTAGTTCAGTTCCTACTTTGTAGCAGAATATATAAAATGTGCGTGATGTCTGTGTAACAGAAATTGATCATATTCAGAATCCACTTTTTGCAAAGTTATGTGTGAGCGTGTTGATATTAAGAGCCCGTATTAACGGTCAAGTTCGTCTGGTGGTAGCCACTAGAACGTCGTACGTTTAGTTTTTTGGCTCGCCCAATGCTATGGGGGATGAGAGAATGAGTAACTTGCTATTCAACCGGTATGACGGTATCGAACAAATGCAAAGGGAGGGTTATTAACCAAAGGGAGAGCGCTGGCGGCCTACCTAACCTGAGGGCCCCCTATACTTTTCGCGTGAAGCGTGAAGGGCTTATTTTACTTAGCCGTGAAACGTGATCGGGCCCCCTATACGTTTTGCGTGAAGTGCTTATTTTACTTAGCCGTGAAACGTGATCGATGATTTTCTTAATCCGTGACTCGTGAAAAGGCAAAATACTTTTACGTGAAAGCATATTGTGAAGAGGTATAGGGGGCCCTCTAACCTACCAAAACCAGGGCGCTTATATATAAGCGCCCTGACCAAAACCCCCAAAGAAACGCCCTGTCGTTACGTAGGAATCGGGGGTTTTATAATTTTAAATGAATCCGAATCAAGATGGCGGCCTAAAGGTTGCGACAACATGATGCAATTTCTGGCTTTTAAGCCGGTGCACAGCCCTCAAATGCTTGCAAATCAGTTGAAACAAGATGTTAGACACTAGCTGAATCATTTAAAAATATTTTTCGAAGAGAGAAGCTGCCTGTATGGCTGAAAATTTGGTTGCAACCGAGCCGTGCGAGGCCGAAGGAGCCGCAGACGACGTCTGTGACACTTTGGATTTTCAAAGTTTTGAAGACGAAATACGGGAACTCTTGTGCCCCAAGGTAAACTTGATGTATTGTAGTTTTATATGATTTTCACATTGGCAAGCATGACTTGCTTATGACGGTACTAATGGTCATTACCATTAGACTAAATTTTGAGCTAAATTTACAATATTTTTATGTAGGAGACCAAACAGGTTGCCTTGCTGAGACAAATCTCAGGAGACATAGAGCAGATCCAGGCAGATGAAATATTAGCATTAAAAGCAATATTTGAAGATGACTTACGAATGGTTGATGAAAGCACCGCAAAATATTTCAAGATAAAAATCAACCCCATCGCAGAGCAATGTCACGACGACGAGGTGGTGGATCTGTGGTTCTGGTAATTTCCAACTTTTTGCTGTTTTGCCAAGTTCCTAGCCAGTGTGCTTACGAGAGGCATTCACCCCCCTGAAAATATTCAAAATGGCAGACTTTTAGGGGGGTGAAGCCTCTCATAAGTACACTTGTTAGGAATGTTAGGCAAGTGCATTTTGATGACGAATCCTTTCGAGTCATGGCTTTTTGGCTCAGTTGGACTTCTGCATAATGCTAAAAAATTGCGGGAACCAATGAATATTTTAATGAAATACAAAAACAATGGTAACTCTGAAAATGAACATATCTTTGAAAGATTTAGTCATCATTAGGAATCTGATTGCATTTCTAGGAATCTATATTGCACAACCAATCACCCCACACTCTTCACATGAGAATATGCACACACATCACTCTGCCACAAACACCCCATGAAAACTATGAATAGGCCATAGGGATGAGCCGATTAATCGGTAAATAATTGGCAAAGTTGATTAATCGGCCGTTTTTTAAATAATCGGCTGATTATTGCTTGATAATCGGCAAATAATTGGCCCATAAGACTTTTTCTGCAGTTGCCAATTACGTGCTAAAATACTGAATACAAGCGAATAGATTTTCACATTTTGTTGCAAAATCTGTGTCTTTTGTCTCAAGCGAAGTGAAGCTGGGAACATTTCCACACAAAAACGCAGCAGACTAACTCCGCATAGCTGACAATGTCTCATTTGTATTGCATGTGTAAATGAGCCTTATGATTTCTTAGCATTTCTCCAATATCATCATCTCTAGCTTGCCATCTCAGTATCCAGTCATTCCTCCAATATTCGAAATAGAAGGCCATGGATCACTCAGTTCTGCCAAAGCTGACAAGCTTTATTCGCTTCTCATGAAGGAAGCTTGTTCTCGTCTTAACTCCCTCATGATTTACGATCTCATCACCATCGCACAGGACTTTGTGCAGGAAACAATGGCAGAGGTCCGAGAGAGGAGGAAAAAAGAGGAAGTTACTTTTGATGAAGAGGTTTGTCACTAGAGAATGTAGAAATATGTAAATCCAATTTCATCTCAAAACTGAAAGGTGCTTGCTCTAAGGTGCTCACACTTTTCATATCGTGAAAAAATTAGGATAGGTAGGTACGTCGGAAATAAATTTTTGTTTTAATATTTTTTCCTGGTTTTGACGGTTGTTTGCTGGGCGAGTCCCGACATCAATATTAACTTGAGATGCATATTTCCTATGGACGAATGTAGGCAATTTGGTTCAATAATTATTATCAGTGACAACAGACACCATTTTGGCACACCGTATGACAATCGGTATGAGCAGCCCACAACCACCCGGAGAAAATAGGGTCGCATGGTCAATCGTGTTGAAAAAATAATAGGGTCAGCCTAACGACTGTGTCCTCAAATACGACTGATCCATCTTTGTGTTTATCACAGTTTTGGCCATAGAGCCTTGTTTCCATGTACGCAACATTAGTAATAGAGCTTAACATGTCAATCACGAAAATGAGGCTCTATGGCAAGATGATGTACTTTTCGGAAGTACAGTATGTATGTATTGTCAGTCCATCGCTGGCCAGTCTGTTGGTCGATTAGTCAGTTGGTTGGTTAATTGGTTGGTTGGTCGATCGGTTGGTTGGTTGGTTGGTTGATCAGTTGGTTGATTGGTTGATTGGTTGGTTGGTCAATCAGTCGGTTGGTCGGTTTGTTGGTTAATTGGTTGGTTGGTCCATAATTCAGTAACCTGTTTTGTCAATCAGTGAGTTAAAAGTTATCATAATCTTGAACAATCTACTAAAACTTTTCATTTTAGCCAAAATTAGAAGAATGTACAAGCGACAATGCCATTGAAGAACATTTGGATACCAACCACTATACCAACTATGGTGGCATTGACTTGCGAGATACACAGAAATATATTGGACATATACATGTCTTAGAGAAAGTTCCAAGTCATTTAAAAATACAATCTGTAAGTACAGCTAGTGTTATTACGCAGCCTAAAACCATGCATGGCTGCAGACACGGATATACTTTACATATGCTTGCATTGCTTAAGAGGAGGAGAGCCTTGTACATTGTAATCTTCTGTTGTTTTGCTTTTCTTAGCTTGAAAATATCATGAAACACAACTTGGTGAACAGATTTAACTCTGCCTGGGAGAAAATGTCTAGGAAATATGAGACAGAGTCCAGGAAATTTCCGAAACAATTTCTTACCATGCCCAGGGTTGCATTTCATGGAACACGTCAAGGAAATGTTCCGAATATAGGTATGGTGTATCAGTGGCATTAATTTCAAAACTTAAAGTATATTTATCAGTTGTAAACTGTTTCCCTAGAGATTCAGTAAGGATGATATTATTTCTTATTCATCCAGTGTTACTACAGGAGGAAACCTAAACTAAAACCAACTTTATTTATATTGGATAGCTCTATCAGTTCTAAACTGTTCTTCCTAGAGGTCCAGTAAGGATCATCTCTTATTGATCCAGTGTTACTACAGGAGGAAACCTAAACTAAACTGACTTTATTTATACTGGATAGCTCTATCAGTTCTAAACTGTTCTTCCTGGAGGTCCAGTAAGGATCATCTCTTATTGATCCAGTGTTACTACAGGAGGAAACATAAACTAAACTAACTTTATTTATACTGGATAGCTCTATCAGTTCTAAACTGTTCTTCCTAGAGGTCCAGTAAGGATCATCTCTTATTGATTCAGTGTTACTACAGGAGGAAACATAAACTAAACTAACTTTATTTATACTGGATAGCTCTATCAGTTCTAAACTGTTCTTCCTAGATGTCCAGTAAGGATCATCTCTTATTGATCCAGTGTTACTACAGGAGGAAACCTAAACTAAACTAACTTTATTTATACTGGATAGCTCTATCAGTTCTAAACTGTTCTTCCTGGAGGTCCAGTAAGAATCATCTCTTATTGATCCAGTGTTACTACAGGAGGAAACCTAAACTAAACTAACTTTATTTATACTGGATAGCTCTATCAGTTCTAAACTGTTCTTCCTAGGGGTCCAGTAAGGATCATCTCTTATTGATCCAGTGTTACCACAGGAGGAAACCTAAACTAAACTAACTTTATTTATACTGGATAGCTCTATCAGTTCTAAACTGTTCTTCCTAGAGGTCCAGTAAGGATCATCTCTTATTGATCCAGTGTTACTACAGGAGGAAACCTAAACTAAACTGACTTTATTTATACTGATAGCTCTATCAGTTCTAAACTGTT